GCGAGACACTGTATACTTCTGCTTCATGATTCTTTATTACTCTTTTTCTCTGAGAATTTTGCCACTGGATTTATGTGCTCTGCCGTAATGAGTTATTTTAAATAGTTGTGACTTAAAACTAGAAATGTACACAAAGGCAGATGTAAATGTTTTACCAGCGCATTGCATGTCACATACTTATTTTGTGATCCTTGCATTACTGTGCCACTAACAAATTCAGTACACAGGGGGCAACAGAGTTGCCTTCAAATCCCTGTGTTATTAAATCAGATGTTTTATTAGATAATTGTAGGGGCCTTTGCAATGATAAGATTGCAAAGCATAAAATGTAAATAGCAATGCTGTAAAGTGTAAATGTGTACCTTGAATGCAATGTAAGTCACTTTGTAGGGGTGTGAAGCAGAGCCAATGTCTGTATCTGTATCTGTAGCAAATATATTTTACAAACCCAATTCCAAAAAAGTTGGGACACTGTACAAATTGTGAGTAAAAAAGGAATGGAATAATTTACAAATCTCATAAACTTATATTTTATTCACAATAGAATATAGATAACATATCAAATGTTGGAAGTGAGACATTTTGAAATGTCATGCCAAATATTGGCTCATTTTGGATTTCATGAGAGCTACACATTCCAAAAAAGTTGGGACAGGTAGCAATAAGAGGCCGGAAAAGTTAAATGTACATATAAGGAACAGCTGGAGGACCAATTTGCAACTTATTAGGTCAATTGGCAACATGATTGGGTATAAAAAGAGCCTCTCAGAGTGGCAGTGTCTCTCAAAAGTCAAGATGGGCAGAGGATCACCAATGCCCCCAATGCTGCGGCGAAAAATAGTGGAGCAATATCAGAAAAGAGTTTCTCAGAGAAAAATTGCAAAGAGTTTGAAGTTACAGTGCATAATATCATCCAAAGATTCAGAGAATCTGGAACAATCTCTGTGCGTAAGGGTCAAGGCCGGAAAACCATACTGGATGCCCGTGATCTTCGGGCCCTTAGACGGCACTGCATCACATACAGTTTTTCAAGAATGGGAACATTTTAGAAGTTTCTAGAATGATTCTAGTGCTTTCTGGAACATTCCAGAACATTATAGGAGTAGTCATTAAAGACAAAAATCCTCCAAAGTACACGTCTGAAGCTTTGGACGACTCACTTTGGTAACTGTTGTTGTTAGCTCAGTATTAGGCATGTGCCATGTCATTTTTATGCATGAGTTATAACAGATTCGCTTTCATAAGTTCTCAACACATTTTTTTAAGTTTTCATAAGCACTGTTAAAGATGCACAAAAGTAATACGATTTTCATATTCAGCATGTCAGACTTCATAAAGAAACATTAAAAATAAAAGCGAAGTGAAACGTTTTTAAAAATGTGTTTCACGGTGTGTTCAGGATGCAGCAATGGGTGAAAAGATCTCGGTTAGCAGGATATGTTTGCATTTATTTCATGGACTATATTTTGGTCCTAAAGCCCGATACAGTTTTCTCTGTGCACACATGATGCTTTATTGTGATAGATGGCACTACAGCTGACATATATGATGGTTTGTTATAATATCCCCTTCTCCCAAACCCTCATGCATGTACCTGTTGATTGTGACTCACCTGCAGAGCAATGAGTATGTTGGGCAGAGCCTGACCGTAAGTGTCGTGGCAGTGCACCGCCAGTGCGCTGACGGGCACCTCTGTCAACACATCGCTCAGCATCTCGGCCATGGAGCCCGCGGTGCCTACGCCAATGGTGTCCCCCAGGGATACCTCATAACAGCCCAGCTCAAACAACCGCTTTGCCACCTGGGCCGGAACAGAGGAAAGCCATGAAAACACTATCCCCCCTGGAAATATAAACAAGATGAAGGAGTGCACACAGAGAGCTCATTCTGAGCGTTAGAAAAGCACTGGCATGTTACAGCGCCATGCGGGGTTTTTTTAGCAAACATCGTAATAAGGGCCTTGTGGGACAACCAAAATTGTGGGAAGAAAAAATATGCAGAGCACTCAACACTCAATGAGATTTATCACATACTGGAAGGCCAATCTTGCTTCGGGCCGTTATACACTGAGCAATGCTGCTCAGATTGAACGACGCTGCTATTACAATACCTTTGTGACTTGTGATGGTTTTACTTGTCCCTCATATGGACAGCCGAGAGCACAGGAAACGTACCTGGAAAGAAGTGAAAGAGCTATGAGACGTAAAGCTCAGCCCATGCTGGAGGATATATAGCTTTGAGCTTATAGTACCAACAGTCACGCAACATAGGTGAAATAATGCCAAGTGCTGTTTTACTGCAACCACAAGCAGAACGGTCCACAGCGGCCAGAACAACGGATTACATCTATCACAGAATAAAACAAAATGTTCAGCAGCAGGCGAAACATATGGTTGGTGTCAAACGGTTGTGACAAATAGTACCAATAGTGTTGACAGTGGGAATGAGAAACGGTGCTAGAGAGCGACGTATAAACCATATGTGCTTTCCATATGTGAAGGAAACATGTTCTGCTAGAAACAGCGAACAAACAAGTGAAAAGTTGAAAATGTTCCTCTTGGGCTTGTGGTCGTCAGACGATACTGCTGTCTGCTACCAGAATTTGTGTGGAGTCTCTTCTTGAACGTTAGGCGTTGAGTCACATTTGCCAGAATGAGTTCGTCAGAGTGAAGTGACTGCTCTCTATTGTTTTTTTGCTTCTTATTCAGTAAAGAGCACAGCCTAAAAACTCTGGACACATCTGGACTTGTACTTGTAACTGATACAAAGCGCCACACTGCATGCACATCTGGAACTTGACTTATTTACTCATTAATTCTGGAATAATTTCATGCTTCTCTGGTGCCCCATCTCAAAACCTCAAAGGAGAACAGTCAAAAAAAGTGTAAGTACAATAAAAGAAACCACTGACCTTTCGGTTAAACCAAAGATCAGTCTTGGAGCTTGCTTATATAACAAATGGCTTCTGAAAACCATAGTCCTGAAGTCCAAGCTCAGTAGGGACAATCTCCTGGATCAAATGTATGTCTCAGTGGTATTATTATGTTGGCAGCTCAGAGGTAAACCTTGATTTTTTTCTTTATTATTTTATTTCAGCTTTTTTTATTAAACATTCTGCTACCAATACGAATTCTGCTGATTTTGCAGGGAAGTCATAACAATCAGCATTGCAGAACATTCAAAAACATCAGCGAGGGTCAAACCTACAACTATCCAGTAATTCCTTCAGACCTTGATCCAGTATGCCCCTTTGATTAACTATGGACACATAAATTCCACACTTGCAGAATTCAGCAAAAAGCTCTGCCAATTTTGAAAACAATATGTGACCCTGGACCACAAAACCAGTCATAAATAGCATTGGTATATTTGAAGCAATAGCCAACAATATAGGTCAAAATTATCGATTTTTCTTTTATGCCAAAAATCATTAGGATATTAAGAAAAGATCATGTTCCATGAAGATATTTTGTAAATTTTGAACACAATGACGCAAAAGTCTTAGTTTTCTATGAACACATCCAGGAGCATGTACATCTGTGAGCCTGTGCTATTGAGATGAATAATTAATTTGCCACCATCACCAAATGAATAGTTTTCCTGTGAATATATACAATAGGACAGTATCTGCTAAAAGTGCCTGTGGCGACATTTTTGCAAAATTATAATACGTTTCAGTGAGTGGTGCTAAAATGTAACAGATGCTGAATGCATCACAGTTGGTGTCGCCTACACATCCCAGCCGTTTGCAAAAGAAATGACCGTTGAGTGATGCTAAAAAGTTAACACTCGAGTGCATTTGAAAAAAAAAAGAACAACCTACACTAAACCATACCCTATAAAATATATTTTGAAGCAACCATTGCATTTAAACTTGCTTGCTTGCACATTTTTCCAATTCCAGTCTATGTTGACTAAATCATGCTAAAAATGTGTCCAAATACAACATTATTGGTATCATGCATCCTATATGTTTTGTGCTCACCAATGTCATTACTGAACACAAATGTGTACCAGCTGTGGTTTTCTTTATGCCTCAGCCACTTGTTGTATTTATGCCTTTGAGTTTGTTATGATGGTGTTTTTCTCCTTAAATTTAAAAGCAGAATACTAATCATAAACATGCTTAACCACTTCGAGCCACAATGCTTCAAGCACTTTAGAATTGTGAAATCTCTACCTTCTCATTCTGAAGTCCATCTCTCGGTCCGACCTCCACAATTTTGACACAAAGTGGAAGCTTAGGCAGTTCAGAGCACTGTAAATTGAAAAACAATGAGGAAGGAAGAACCATATAACAATTTCACAGAGCTGTACGGAAAATCTGAAAGGTGAATTAAGACACATCCTCTGTCCGGTGCTTCCTGTCAAATGGTGCGTACAACGTCATGTTTTGAATCTGCTCTTCAGATACTTGCCAGGTCATTTATGACATAATGTGCTTTGGAAACGAGCATTTCCTCTCTTCCAATGGTAAAACCAAAGCTAAAGCTTTGAATTCGGGAGTTGTATTACCAAGGGCCAATGCTGTGTTTATAGAAGATTTGAATGGCTATAAAACCCCAGCCTCTTGATACGGAAACCCTCGCTGTGAGGAACTGTACAGACTAGTTTCTTTAGAGCTGAGTTTGATTTAATTGTGCTGTCATGGAGGGAGGGAATGGATGTGTGAAAGGAATGATAACAAACTTCTTTTTAAGCAGTTTCTGACCGTGTGCGCTATGTAGGTGGAGGAGAACCGTTGCGGTTTGTCCCGTTATCACCCCAGGCCTGCAGTTAGGACAGCCTATTAAATTCACTCATAAATCAAACTCGCCGCTCAAACCAGATATACAGGCCCCACTAGAAATATCCATTAAAGCATTATTTTCTTATCAACAAAATAAATTAGACCAAAACACTTTTGCTGTCTCTGTATTTTTTAAACATTTCTTGCCCCTATCTTTGAGTGGAATTTTCAAGAGGTTAAGCCAAAGTTGGGAAGTGAAACAACTGTGTTGTTTACTGTATTTAAAGTGCATTTCTATATTGGTCTAATCATCAATATGTTTTTCCAGTTTAAACCTGTTTTGTTCACTTTGGCTAAAAAGCAAATAACACACAGAACAAAGTAAAAGAAACAAATATTTAAATTTATCTATCTATTTAGTCGGTTAGTTAGTTAATACATGATTGAAAAGATCATGCATTTTTAAAAATATATCACAATGAACATTAAAATCTTTCAAAGAGAATATTCCTTTATTTATAGTAAGAAAACTAAATGAAACATTGACTAAAAATAGTTTCTTAGGTGAAAATTCGATTTCATATTATAGCTATTTTAGCTTTTCGTTTACTGTGAAATTTTGTTACAAATAGCCAAAACATTATTATATTCACCTACACTAAATAAAATTGTGTCTTGTGTCTAAAGAAAATCTATGGTATGGTACAGTAAACACGCAATTGTTTCTCTGCTGAACTTGATTTCTTTGCTTCAATCTGCTATCATGTAGACCGAATTTGAACCGATCAATATGTGAAAATTAGCATTCAATTACGATGATGTCAAACCATTTCAATTCCCATTTTGTTGAAGAGTGGAGCTTTTGCTTAGGCTGAGTACATATACAAGAGGATGTTTTTGCTGCTTTACTCAAGAGGCAGACAGTATGTGCTTTTTCTCACTAATCCTGTCATGGAACCGTATCAAGAATAAGTAATTAAAAATAACTTTAAAATAAGGTCATTTAATGATTTTAAAATTATGTAAACAAATGATGTTATATATTACATCATTTTTAATTGTTATTACATTTCTGATTAATATTAAATAAAAACAACATTCGAACCAAGCCATGATTACAATTTGAGAGGAAGTAATAGGCCTACAGTAGCCTTTTTTCAGTGTAGTTTCAATCCCATATGAACGTTCTATGTGACTATAAGTCTGTACCATATACTATAGCATAGAATACTGTAGGGTATAGGCCTGCCACCCTGTCATAATTGAATTAAATTCTTAATTTAACACTTTAAGGACCAATGCACACTATTAACTAGTTGCTTAGTAGCATGCCTATTATAAACATATTGGCTTTTTTTGTGCTTATAAAGCATTTGTACTACATGACCAGATTCTGCATCCCTAATTCTAGCCAATACCTAAACTTACTGTAACAACTACCTTACTAACTATTAATATGCAGCAAATTAGGAGTTAATTAAGGCAAAGGTCATACTTAATGGTTTGTTAATAGTGAGAATTGGACCTTAAAATAATAAAGTGTGACCAGTTCTTCAGTTTGCCATAGGTCTCAAATCTCACTTGCATGTTTTCAAATGGAAAACAATGCCATTTGGCATACATAACGTAAAACCTGGTGTGGCTTGTTGAAAATCAGCATTTTGTAATGAAATACAAATTTAAAACAAGATTTGAGAGCTCTGGTGGAGGTTTTTTTTTTTTCCAGTCACAAATATTGCATATAATTTCATCAACTCTGAATCTCACAGAAGAAAGAAAATAACTGGTTGAGGGTAACATGAGGGTCATTTATTAAAACTTTCATTACGAGGTGAGCTATTCCTTTAACCTCAAAGCGACTGCTTTTCTCTCTGCGTTGCTGTATTTCCTAGAGCCATGTATAAATCTTGCACATGCAAAAACAGACCCCCACCTTCTCTTCCCACAGGAGCCGTGGAAACCAAGGATAATCCCGCAAGAAAGTCTCATAGCTCAGGCAGTGCTTGACCGCAGTAGAAACGTTACCCATCCGGCTAGCACGATCTGCCAGCCCGGTGCTGTTCCCAGATGGCACCTGTGGTGATCAGCGTGCATATGCGCTTCCGAGAAGAGAAAGGAGAGCATCGCTTCGAAGGGCGAGGGATGACTCAGCTGTTACCATGGCAGCAGCATCCCTGCCTGTGAAGGGGAGGGAAGACGCAGGCTGAAGACGTTAGACGTGTTTTGTTAGCTTTAGACTGACAGCTCCACGGGAAGTACGGGACCCGCTGGGATTCTCGGCTCTACAATGAGACTAACCACACGCTGCTTATTTTACTGCCCTTGGCTCCCCTCCCCAGCGGAAATCTACAGCTTCGGGGAAATACGCTGCCGTGATTGATCTCCTGTGACTGAGGCAGCTCATGCTTTTCAATGGCCGGCCGTGCCACTCTTGCCAATGTAAACTGTGCTCTGTTATAAAATCTCTCTGTAAAGCCGGGCCGCAATTTACTTGTGAAAGAGCCATTCTTCCTGGCCCAGGTGCTTACAATAGAGAGGTTTAAGGAAGCTCTTCCTCAATAAGATGCTGGTGTGCCGTGAGAGGGTCTGGCCTCTCTCTCACGGGGGGAAAATGCAACTGCTGAGACCAGGGGCTGCATTTATTAGGTATCAGCATTACTCGCATGGCATGAGATGATAAATCATAAGGTGATTTGAAGTATTCAAAAAAAAATAAAGAAATGGTGAATAACAGACTCGAGGGCATGCTCGGGGTTCCAGCACAATGAATTGTCACGACTTTTACACGATCTCTGAAGTCATTTCATTATTATGTAAGGATTTAAAAAATAAAATAAAATTGGATTTTCACTATAATAAATCATTGTTCAAAGTACAGACTGACTGTGGTTTGCAGTGTTAAGTTTTATGCTGAACAAGTACAATAATAAGCAGCATCTAGCTGGTGAATTATTGTATTTATAAGCAATCCAACCCTTGTGAAAAGGAAGCTTGCTTGTATTAAATGGGCACTTCAAATTTTAAAAGTGGCTCACACTTTATTTTAAGGTTCAATTCTAGAAACGTTTTCCTTAATAAACTCCTAATTTGCTGTTTATTAATATTTAGTAAAGTAGTTGTTAAGTTTAGGTATTGGGTAGGATTAGGGATGTAGAGTATGGTCATGCAGAATATGTGCTTTATAAGAACTAATAAACAGCCTATATATCTTAATAATAGGCATGCTAATAAGCAACTAGTTAATATTGAGAATTGGTTCTTTACTAAAGTGTTACCTAAAAGGGTATGTTTAAAAAATGCAGATAACAGTACGAAATAAAAGGTTATATAATATATTACTGCTTCTTAACACTAAGTGCACTTTGTAATAATGTTAAATTAGAAGCTTTACTTTAAAGTACATTACCGGTATGTATTAATGTTTTTGTTGCGCTTTAAAGTACACTTACTGACATACTAAAGCACGTGTTAAGAACTGATTGTAATTTTAACTGTAGTGTTATTCAGTATTACATTTAAAGTTAATATATGTTATATGTACTAAATTCCAATGTCATAACATACAAATTTCATAAATGCTTATACACATTATATATACATGGTTGTACACTTACACATACAGAAATGTACACAGTAGTATACTTAAGTGGGTCAAAAAATCACTTCTACAGTTCATTTAAGCTATAACACACTTATTTAATTGCAATTAACATGCTAAGTGTCCAAGAACATTACATTTAGTTAACACCAAAGTATTATATTATTTCTATAATTAGTATTTTTTTCTTAACTGTAGTTCTTTTTCAAAAGGGAACTGTGGGTTGATGTGTAAACTTTGGCACTGGGGGTGCTTTTTAGCGTCCGAACAAGTTGTGACAGCAATATTTGACCAGCCGATGGAATGCCGCGTGAGTTGTGGGTGGGATCTGTTTGTCTGACCAGTTGCAGAAGAGGGCAGTGTTCGGGAAAACTTTTAACAATTAAAAAGTAGTGCTCAAACAACACAATTCACATTTAGGGTTTGATTAATTTGGCGTTTTCCAGGCAATTTTTTTTAATTCTCTGATATGTCAGCCAGATTCAATGTAAAGACAAGCCATTCATCTTCCTGATTGCATTTACATATATAGTCCACATATACGAATCTGTACAGACTTTCCTATATATCCTTGACAGTATGTAATCCAGCCCAGACAGCGAGCCAAGAGCTGCCGGGAACATTCAGCGGTGGGGTGTGTATGATTCAGAATTGCCCCCAGCTGGAGTTAGCCGCATTAGATCTGCATCCCTACCGAACCATTTAGCATTTCCTTTCCTTGAATACTGTCTAACTAAAAGGACATTCAAAGTGGACATTCATCTTGACAAATACCAGCTGTCGGGGTTTACTTCAAAGAGGTGAGCTACACCTTCAGGGCATCCTGGATAATGTAAAGTAACACAGCACAGGTGAGCGAGTGTGGGGGCTTTTCTGAACTTCTTTTATCATCCCATACATGCTCTCGTAAACATTTAGCCACTGAGCATGACAGCAGGATGAAATGTTAAATAAAGCACAATTTCATTAGCCATTACCTGAAAGCATGGGTTATTTTGGCTGTACCAGAAGCTCCCCTCTTTAACCTTATTCCTCTTGCAATTGTAAATGATTTAGGAGCAGGCCAGTAGACGATGGGCTGCGTTTTGCACAAACAAATCCTGCTGGGTTAGCTCTGGGCCTCTCGTGAATTAACCTTTGCCTCTGTGAACTTGAATTGGTAAAATATTTATGCTTTGCTGTCTCTTGTAATGTAATCACTGATGGACTATCTATAAGGAGCACTGGTGCGTTTTCCCCGCAGGCCAGTAGATCAGCGGGCTTGTCCGTAGACACTGAATTTAGATTTAGAGATTAAGATTTTAATGGGAGAAAAGGTCAAGCTTCATCAGGCCATTTAAGCCACAGTAGCCGATCCACAGCGTTCTCTATCTGGCAGCATTCATGCGCTTTTGTCGGTTTTAAGAGGATTTAAAGGTTGGGATTTATGTACTTTTGTACAATGTTAAAGTTGTACTTTATTGGATCCCTATTCAAATCTGAGTTGTCTGTCGGCATCAATATTCCCCTCTCAAAGTCATTTGCCAGTCCCATGTCTCCACGCAATGCTTTCATGTCTGCTCTCAAACTGTGCTGTCAAATAAAGGCATAAAAAGGCCCAAAAATATAACTTAAAAAAAATCTGAGTTGTCAACTAAAGAACCACTGAACTTGATAACAGGGCTGTTGTCACTGTGACGAGGTGTAGTGTAGCCATTGAGGGCCCGTCCATACTATTTTTTGTCCCGGGCCCTGAGAATTTAAGCAATAGTTTGTGTTCCCGGTCTGTTTTTTATTCGCAGTCCATCCCTGAGTGTAATTGATGACACTACAGTGAGTCAACAGGCTGTGCTGTTCCACAGCAAAACAGGTTTTGGATGCTGGCTCACGCGATTAACAGGGACTAAAATCTTTCATTGTCTCCCACGGCATTAGTTCCATTGAAATCTAGCACACAACACCATAACAAACTTCACCCATGACTAAAACTGGCTTCCAAATCGGTCGGATAACTTTAATGAGGGAAGAAATGGAGCTCCACACCATGGATTAATTGGAAAGATAAATCGCAGATGCGACAAAGCCTTCTTTGGATGTTTTATTTGGAGTGCTGGTGTAATCTGTACCATTATGTCAACAAAAGAGTTTAGTTCTTCCCTTTTTCATCTTTAGGATGGAAACAGATGTGAGAAATATTCTTTACAGAGAACAGGTTTAGATGAAGCATCAAAGAGGTTTTAAGCCATCAGATAAATCCTGAAAACATAGAGAACTGCCCAAAACTCAAGCCAGATTCGATCAATTTTCGTCCATACGATTTCAATTGTCCCATAGAAGCTGCTAGAACAGATTCAAGCTTTGATTGCAACATCAGAAGTTCAGTGTGTGCACTCGTGGGAAATGTACACTGCAGCCTGTATAAGCAGAGCTTGTGGATAATAACAAACGTGTTACTGAGACAGACCATCACAGGTTTACACCTAAAGAAACGAAAAGTGTTTCTGACAGCTATCTTTAGAAGGATTTCAGTGGCCTTAAAAAAAAAAAAACATTTATTGTACATGAGGGTGGTCCTCACCGAGGAGGTCAAAAATAGTTTAAGAAATCTGTTAGTATTTGCAGTAATATCAATGGCAGTTGCTTGGCTGGCACAGGACTCCCTGAATGTAATTTGAAATCTGCCATGTTTTCTCATAGACACTCGGTTCTGAGCATGAAGGTGTTTGAATCATGACAATGCTTATTGGCCCAGACAGAATATTTTGTTCTGAAGATAAAAACAGACAAATACTAATCACTTAAAGGGGATCTATAATGCGAAATTCCCTTTTATATTGTTTTTGAACACAACTGAACATAATTATGTGTCCACATGCGAAAGATGAGAAAAATAACTTTGTTTAGTGACACTCGCCGCATGATAATCAAAACCAAATACATGTTTTGTTTTGACAGAGGCAAGCTGCAAATTCGCAGCCCTATTCTGGAAAAGGGGGCGGGGAGCAGCAGCTCATTTGCAATTAAAGATACATGCACGCAAACAATGTTTTTGCTTCTGTTAATTTCAGCATGGTATTATAAATGGTCTATTAAAATCTGTAAGATATCACTCAAACTGCTTTGTTTAATTTCAAATGTTGAAACACATTTGTGATAATGTCTTGTGTTGACCTTTGTTTTTTTAGTGAAACAACCAACTAAACATTTTCACCTGTTCATCCATATGGTTAACTTTCCAAATGTTCTTTTTTGAACAGGATATTACCTATCAAGTATTGTGGGAGTCCAGCTTTGGAAGAACCTAATAAAAACTTAACCTTCTGTGTCCAGCATGTCAAATATTAACCGTAACATAGTCCCAGCACAGACCGCATAGTTTGATTTTGGATTTTTGGATTAATTCGCTAGAACACTGAGTATTAACACATTTTGAAATTGATACATGTGGACAGATGTTTTAATGTGCTTCTAGATGTTTTGGGTGGAATTTTTAATTGCACCATGGAGGGATCT